CTTACCCCAAAAAGTCATCAGGAAAGACTTGTTTGTGTCTGAAGTTTGCTTCATTAGTTTTAGATCTGGAGCTACAAGGCTAACATTGCTACATGTAATGGTCGCTTATACCGGGCACTTTATAAAGGAGACCGGTCACTGTTGGGGAAAATGACTAGAAAGCTCGTAATGCTCATTATGGCCTCTTTTTACAGCACGTGTCAGGTTCCAGCCCTTGCAGGTCAAACACTGCAGACTTCAGCACACTGCCTTCAGCTCACAGCATTTTGGCCCGGAAGGTCCCCAGTTTGACATACCTGGTTTACAGGGAAAGTCCCGCCCTTTAATGAGGTGAGCGAACCAGCTGGCTCAGTGATCATATTTCAGATGGCAGTTTTGCCTTCAGTTTCAAGTTTTTAGGTCTAAAGAGATTGGTGTGGTCTTGTATGACTGGAAATAACTGCCTGGTGGCATTGCCAAGATAGCCGCCAAGTGGACAGACTTTCCTACAAGGACTTTGTTATTACTCCACCAATTAGCATCATGCTAACTTCAAGAAATATAAGTATCCATAAGTAGGGATGAATTGTGATTTTTCAGACTGTAACTGACAGCAATATTTTTATAAACTGAGTTTCAGGCCTGATTAATTTTGGCCAAGGAGACCAGAATATCTACCTTTTCTGGCTTGAGCCTTGACCCCTGAAAGTAGTCTGCCAAACTGCCAGTAAGTTGTGGTTGTGATTTACAGGCATTTCACAAGCTCTTATAAGGTTCAGTTTCCTCTCTTAAAACTTAAAACTTAACGTTTTTGCTAATGTACACACTTAAGATGGTTAAGAACATAGAAAATAAAACGTGCCATTACTTTTGCACACGACACATTTTTTCCCAATATGTTAAATTCAGCAAATAATCAGTATTTGTGTATTAAAATGTGCACAAGTGTGTCCCCTATAGAACTTATTTTCACTTAGAAAAACTACATAACTTTTGCATATGCATGTCCATTAGCCTCAACGTTCCAGTACAAAACTGAAGAAATAAACTTCAGACACAAAACAAGTCTGATTATATGTGGGTTAGGTTAAGATTGTCCCACAAAGTCTTGCTTTAACAGCAAGGGTGGTACAGCAGGCGTAGGAACCCGTCTACAAACCAGCCTTCTGACTGCTCAGTTTTAATGCCCCTTTTTAAAAGACTCAATAATGTATTCAACCATCTCTATTTCTGTATCGGTGCAGATGAGGAGTGGCCGGTTCCTTAGGAAGCTCCAGCTGCCCTACGGAGGCCTCCGAGGTCCGCAGGCCCCTCTGGAAATCTGCAATGTAAGCATCCAGTGCTTCAGAGGCCGATTCATAATTTCTGTCTTTGTATTTAATGGTATGGACTGGTTCCGGGTGCAGAGAGCTTCTCATCCGTCCAGAGCTGGCCAGCAGTGAGGTGACGGTCGATTCTGGAGAGAGAAGACCATCCACAGACCCCATGACCCATGCAGTGGAACAGCAGGAATCACCATCATCAGGGCGCTGTAGCTGCGAAACAAAAGAAAAGGATTTATTTTAAGTATTTTGAAGAAGAAACAGGGAACCGAGGCAGCCCTACAGACTGAAAACACAAACGTAATTGGGATGTGTACCTACTTTTGCTTAGAACATCAACAAAACTGTTATTTGACCAGCGCCACCGTGCGCCCCACCTTGTTTTGCATACGTCTGTGTGTGTGTGTATATATATATATATATATATATATATATATCACTGTTGTCGGAACAAAACCTCGTATCTCCAAAATGGTAACTTTACAGGAGAAGGAAAAAACTTACTTTACTTTTAATGTAAGTCAATGGAACCAGAATTTTTTGTCATTTTGGGGCGTTTCTTTTGGTCCATTCATCATGAGATTTACGCACAATGTAAAGGTCAACAGGCATTTTCAAATTATGTCAAAAAATGGAAAAACAACAAAAATATATATAAAATACAATTTATAGTGTTTTGTTATGTTATTCCATTACTGCAACACATTGACAGCCACTGACGTGTTTAAAAAATCTGAAAACAGAAAAATTAACTTCTTGTTGTTCCATATAGAGCTCCACTTGATCTACTAACTTCAGTGAATACTGTTCATATGTGTAATGATTATGATTGTCAAATATTTACGGACATGATTACTGTCCGTTTTATTCTAAATATTCAGCCAGATGCTGAGCAGTGAGAGATTTAGACTCCTATGAACCTGAATGTGACTGAATGACGTTATCTTCAGTTTCTTAAGTGTTCATCCAGACAGAAGCAGTTTCATTCACTCTAGAAGCAACAAAATACATATTAGTGCCGATTTCCACTCAGCTTCCGTCAATAATTAGTTCTACTGACTGACGCTACTGTTGTCAGCACTAAAAGGAATATTTATTTGAGCTGATATATGAATGTTTTCTTGTCCTAAGAAGTTCAACCAGAACCAGCTTTTCTCCTTTCACATTTATGGCATTTGCTTTTATCCAGAGTGATGTAAGGTTGTAATCAGGTTAAAGAGGCAGGAGAGTACAGTGGTATGTATTTTGCTCAAGGCCTCTTTCTGATGTAGCATGGTGTTCCTGCTCAAGCAGGGAACTGAACCCTGCTCTGATGTGTGATGGGCAGCAGCGTTAGCCACTACACCGCACCAACCCCAGTACAGCACACATACTGACGTGCTAAAGACAGGCCAGCTGCCTTGTGATATTTGTCCATAATGAGGTATGCTGTTTTATTTGCTAAATCAGCGTAAAAAAAGACAATTTAAGTCAGATTTTTTTACCGTCCATCATGCAAAATTCATAATGTCCAAATATCAGAAGTCACATGATCTGTCTTAGCACATGTGGTGTAATTTATATCTCCTGTGTTAAATGGCCCAATGGTGTTTTTTTGGACTGGTTAAGCAGGTCACTACATTGGTAGTGTAGTGAATAACACTGCTGCTGACCAGTGACTTTCAGTGCTGACAAAAGAAGGTCAGTCAGTATAACTACTTACAGAAGTGGACTTAACAAAAGGTTATTTTAGAGTGAATTACAGAGAATTTCTCTGTAATTTTGGGAAATATAGATTTTGTAGCACTATTAAAGCACTGAAATACTCAAGGAAACACCTCAAACTGAATTACTACACACTAGCAATTTAAATGTGAAGCTTATAGTGACCAAAATCTCCCATAGAAAGTTACAGGAGGCAGTAAAGCTGCTCTGTTGTTAATAAATGCCGTTAAACTTATTTAGCCAACTAAAGTATCAGTAATAAACCAACTGAGTAACTTAGTGATGTAGATCAGCCAATAGCATCACAACTACGAAGGTTTACGTGTTATTAAAAGCCCAAACCGGCCATTATGAATACGTTTTAGCGGATAAAGCTCACCGGTCATCGCTTGTGGAGTCATTTATTGTTAAAGCTGTGTTTTTTGTTGTTTACTGGTGTAAACAAACAGGTAAACAGCGCACTAGCAACCGGCTGCTCCGCTCTAACGGCTCCCACAGCCCTGGGTACTGGGCGAGCCCGAGTCTGTCAAAATAAAAGTCCGTGTGGCTCCTGTCCTGAGGAAATGTAGTGAGAGTCTGCCAAAGTTTGGTGTCTTCCTTCCCATCTGATTTGCTTAGAGACATGTCATATAGCTCGTAAATTATTACGTGTATTGAATGTATGTCCATCTATCTATCTATCTATCTATCTATCTATCTATCATTTAAAAAAAAGAGGAGGGGGGGTTCAAGTTTATTTTAAATGTATAAAAGCCCTATTCTTGAGAGTCAAAACATCCCAATGTATTGTTCAACCATGGCTCCTGAGAGTCTCCGTACAAATGTGGCTAACAAATCTTGACCAGTTGGTCTTAAAAATGTTATTTGAAGTGGAGTAACACAGCACATCCAAACCACCATGTTCATAAAAAATAGATAAAACATTCTTCTTTTAATAATGGGGCCGGTTTTCCCACACAGAGTTATTCATGAATATGCCTATGTTTTTGGTAATGTTCTTTCGGCACAAATAAAGCCTGAGACATACAAGCTGCTCTTGAAGGCCTTGACAAAACATGACCATAAACAGACAAATCTTTTCGCAACTGCGCATTAAATTTGTTTTTAGTGCAATGAACAATGGGATCAAAGTTCATAGAGCCACGTAAAGATTAATCTTTACAAAGTTTGACATCGAGATATATAACGACCTCCTTTACTGGGATATTTTCTATTTTGTCCGTTTTTATAGTTCTAAAAGGAAACAACAAATTCTAGAAGACGTGTATATATATATATATATATATATATATATATATATATATATATATATATATATGTATATGTACACACACACATATATATACCTTGTAGACATCGGGACTCCTGGATCACTGTAAAGAAATCTGGGTCTGTAACCATTTTACACCAAACCATACGGAATTACTTTGTTTATATCTCAACCTGAATTATCAACTGAATTATACAGAAATTTTGAAAAATCGGTGGAATTCCCCTTTAAATGCGTTACTAACAATCAGAGTAGTACGGTTAAGATTGCAAAGACAACACACCGACTTTTATTTTGACGGGCCAGTTAGCTCTCTTTCCGGCACCTCCTGCTCACCTCACGGAGCTTCATAACAAACCACAAACACGAAGTCATATGACTCTGTCAAAATAAAAGCCGGGCTTCTCGGCGTCTCATCAATCATTAAAAGCTTTGATTCTTTATGCAAGAAACAGGACAATTTTTATTTTGTTAAAATCAAATCTCATTCTTATTTGACCACTCGTTTGGCTTTTAGATGGTGGGTTTGTTTCGGATTGTTACCAATATTTTAAATCTGCATATCATCTCCATGTTATAAAATGTTATCTGATTAGTCTTATTTGTCTAATAACGTTTTACCATTTCTTCTTTTTTTAAAAAAACGTTTCCTGTTTTGAGTCTTGAAACAAGCGATGCGCAGCAATATTGAGCGGAGACTTTTATTTTGAAAGAGGTGTGTTGCCTGTAATCTCCGAGCCCTGATAAACTAAAATAAACAGCACCAGAGAGAGAAGGAGAGACAGCGAGCGCAGGAGGGTCCAGCACAACAAACGACAACAAACCGAACCGAAACCATGGGGAAGATGTTGAAATCCTGCTGTATTTACGGCACCGGGCTGCTGTCCATCCTCGTCTTGATCGCGGGCATTGCCATGGTGTTGGCTCACGTCTTCTTAAACGCCTTGAACAGCAGGATAAAAACAGTAAGTGGGGATAAACTTAATATTAGAGCTCATATAAAAGAGACTTGACGCCTTTCATGGGCGTAGTAATGCAGGTCATAATGACCCAGTGCAACATCTATTTCCACTATAGACATACCCAAAGCTTTATCCTGCTTTGACTCAGAACTGGTTGTGTAACCCAACCTACAGATTTAGGTTCAGATTTATTGAATATATATAAAGTTTTTTTTAATTATTTTTTTTTAAATACTGTGATATTGACCTTATTTTAGAGCTCCTAAGGTGACATTACTGAATAAGTTGTGGCGACGAATGAAGCTATTGAGGCCATGAATGACTATACTGAGACCACAGTTTATGAGAAACCTAACTCCTGGGCTTAATATAGTAATTCGTGGCCACGCCTTATTAAAAAAATCACCATATCACCTCAGATGATCCGTACTGTACAGGCTACATATGCTGCCACCTTGTAATTGCTTTGTAAAGCAGTTCGTGACAACAGAGCCAAACTTTTATTTTGAAACTGCTTCATTTTTATTGAAGTGCATGGTTGCTTTACAGTGGATCCTCAGCTGGGTGTGGTTTGATTTGAGAGCTAGGCCGGTATCCTCTGTATCCTCTCTGGAGTTGTGCTGTTAAAGAGCCCCTATCATGGAAAAAATTAGTTTTCCTATTTTTTTAAAACAAGTTTTGTTAAAGCTTTGCTCCCCAGTCTATATATAGTGTCTAAGCTGTGGCCTGTTTTGGTTTTGAACCTGTCGTTTTTGTGATGTCATAAAAACCAGCACACTTCAGTATGTCCATCTACAGCACTTTAGCCCCACCCACTCACACAGAAGTTATAAGGAGTGTTTCAGTCTCTGCTGCTTCATGAATGAGGCAGAATTCGAAGCCAATTTGCCAATCAGAACCGAGATCATTTACATATAACTGTATTAAAGGCACAGTAACAGCCTTTAACTCTTAGAACCCGACAGTTCGCATGGCTGTTGTGTAAGCTTCATAGCTTCTTATACAACAGTTAGTTCCGGCCACGCAAGCTGATTGGTTGAGAAGCGCTCTAACCGTGCTGTTATTTCACCATAACATCACGAACACTGTATCACTCCGCTGAGACGCTGTTGCTAAGCAACGACTTTGACAGCTGTAGGAGACGCTCAAGACATTTGAATGTTTTTACTTCTTACTTTGCCACAAACAGGAAATGGACACTTTTAAGATCACATTTGACCGACAGCCGATTTGGTCAGACTCTGAAGATGAGACGACACTAAATTCCCAAACTGTCATCACCACTGAGCAGCTTTTCAGTCGGCAGCTGAGACAGAAGAACAGCTAAACAACCTGGAATCAGCCAGAAATGAACCCAACACCATTCGCCAAACTAAATGGGCTGTAAGATGCTTTACAGACTGGCTGGAACAAAACAACATTAATACTGATCTGGCAAAAAATGTACTGCATTTACATGCCAAATGATGACATATCTCAGTAGTCTATGGGGTCTCCTGAAAGTAAGAACATATGACGCGTAAATACTTTGCAATTGACCAAAAAGTTACATAAAAGCATTTATGCCGCCTTTGTGCTGTCCTTTTTAGAGTTATTATAAAATTAAAAATAATAAAAACAGTTGCTCATCAAATAAGGGAACGCAGCACACAGTTTTCAAGCCATTATTCAACAAATGTCAAACCATCTAGCAACTGCTAAATGCTAAATAGTGCTGCTAACTAGGAGAGAGGAGCTGGTTAGCGTTAGCTTAGCTAGCATGATAACAGCTCTGCTCATTACAGAACATGTTCTATTCTGACGAACTGAAGTTTAACACAGGTTTAGATGAAAATGACTCAAATCTGAGGGAGTGAAGTCGAGTAACTGAAGCTGAAGGGTCAGAAGTTAAACCTGTTCTGTGGTGTTTGCAGCTCTTAGCCATCGCTGAGCCACTACCATGCTTAGTTTTTTGAGGTTTTTCCTGACCAGTATAAATGGGTGGGATGTGTTTGGCCACTCAGACATGGAATAGAAATTTGCCAGGTCATAATTTTGAACGGTTGTTATCATCGTTGTATACCTTATTACAGTTATACTGTCTAACTCAGGGGTGTCCAAACTTTTTTCAAAGAAGGCCAGATTGTACTGTGTTAAAATACCCGAGGGCCGACATTTTATTCACAAATGATTCAAAATATTAAGTTTTTAAAATATCAGCGCAGAGATCTGAGCTTTCTGTGAGCTGCCATGTTTCCTATCACTGTATAAAAGATGCACGAGGCTTCTTTAATTGCTGGATTGTTCATTCAGAGCAGTTTGGATCGATAAGAGCTTATAATAAGTAATTAAACTGGAAGAGTAACAATACTACATGTCTCATGTATTAATCATATTTCTAAGTGTTTCCTTGTTGAAAAATATCATTTGTGAGACAAACTAATCTATAAATGTTTGGTTTTGTCTGGTGATGTTCTTCACATATCAAATAAACGCAGTGTAGCCATGTTTTTGTTTGACCTTAAAGGGTTAATATTTACTGAACTACTGAATTTGCTCTGATAAGAAGTTTTCCATCTCGCCAAAATCGTCAGTTTTTAGTGTTTAGTTTGAGCTTTATGTCTGTAGTCTTGACTAAACGTCATTCACTAAATGAAGCTGCAGGTCTGGTCAGCTGCCACCATCAGGTGAAAGGAAGAACTGCTACGTACTGGCTGGTGGGCCACTTATAATACACCGTAAAACAGAAACCGGGGGCCAATTAAAATCTGTCCGTGGGCCGCATTTGGCCCTGGGGCCGGACTTTGGACACCCCTGGTCTAACCCTATTACTTGTTCATTTGTCAGTCCTCCAATCCTTTCTATACTTGAGGACACAGTTCATGAAGCTGGTCAGCAGTTGACTGTGATCTCTTGACAGTATCTCTTTAGCACTTATCAACAAAGGCCTGACCCACTGCCCTTTCACCTACAGGAGGTGGTGCTGGAAAATGGAACAGAGGCTTTTGCTGTTTGGCAGGATCCTCCAGCCCCTGTCTACATGCAGTTTTACTTCTTCGATTTGACAAACCCTGAGGAGGTGCTGAAAGGAGAAAGGCCTGCAGTGATCGAGGTCGGCCCGTACACGTACAGGTGAGCATGTGCTGGGATAATGGCTGACTAAGTCCCTTGTGTTGTGTGACTGAAGTCTGGGCTATTGTTGATCAGAAGTAAAACGGCTTCACATGACCACACTTTTGTGACCGTTTGGTTTACCACAGTGCGGTGAGTCACACGAGTGCTGTACAAAAGTCAGAGATTACCGTTTTTCAGAGAAATAAAAAAAGCAAGCGTTTCCCAAACTGGAGTTCAATAAACAATCAAAAGTTACAGAGAAAATGTGTCTCCTAACAACCACCTGGAAGAGCTGGTCGACCCCAAAACTGCCCCCATCAGATAAACAGCACTTAAAGCTTTCATCTCTGAGAGAGAGGAGAAAATCAAGCTGATCAGATCTGAAAACATCCACAGGTGTTTCTGTCCATCCTTCCACTGTGAGAAGACGACTCAGCGCTGTGGGTCTGAAAGGATGTGTAGCTGATCAAGAAGAACCTCACTGAGAAAAGGAGACGGACACATCAAACAAAGAAGCTGAACGATGGACTGACCACCCCAGAGTCCAGACCTCAACACCACTGAATGTGTTTGATTACTTCAGAAAATGATCAACCAGCTTCTAAGACTGAACTTTGAATGTGTGTCTGCAGATTCTTTGAGGAGCTGAAAGTGAGTCTCTTGGAAAGAATGGACGCTGTAATAAAGTTAGAGTGGACACACTAGATATTAAAACGTCTGATATTAGATTTAGCCGTTGAAGCTAATTATAAATGTTTTCCTTTTTTTTTTCATGATAAATAAATAACTGTTTTGACTGGAAAGGAAATAAATGAAGTGTGGTCCCTAACTTTTGCACAGTTCTGTACATTAGAGTAGAGTGGTCACTAACGGTTATATTATAAATAAAGTAATATACAAGTATAGATTTAATGAAAAAAATATTAAACTTTTTTAAAAATGCACATTAATTCGTCTACAACTAGTTGTCTGAATGTTTAGAAAGTGGATCTGTGGAAAGTATATCATAAAACAAAAAAAAATGCACACACACACACACACACACACACATATATGTATATATATAATAAACAAAATAATAATTTCTTTTTTCTTTGATAGAGAGTATCGGCCTATGGAGAGCGTGACGTTTATGGATAATGGTACTAAAGTAGCTTCTGTCAACCCTAAAACTTACGTGTTTGAGCCCAATATGTCACGAGGCTTGGAGGATGACCTCATCAGGACTGTTAACATCCCTGCAATGGTGAGACTTTATGAAACTAGGAAGATTCCAAAAGGCATCAAAAATGAAATGTGTATATTGTAATCTGTCAGAGTGGCTGTATGAATCATATGAAACATTGATTTAAATGTCTTTAAATTAAAGCTGACATTGTCACAGTCTGATTACTTACAGCTGCCCTGTTTCGGTGTGCTTTTGGTTCCAGGCGGTCATGGAGAGGTATAAAAACCATTCTCTTATTAGCCGTGTGATCTCGGACTTGATGAAAGCTGGAGGCATGGGGCTGTTTGTGACGCGGCCGGTGGGGGAGCTGCTCTGGGGCTACGAGGACCCTTTGCTAAAGGAACTTCGCTTGGTGGACCCCTTACTGGATGACTACTTTGGACTCTTCTACAAGGTAATTTGGAGAATTAGTAAATTCAAGGGCACATGGAGAAATATCAGGGTGGAATATATGGACTTCTGTCTATCTATCTATCTGTATCTGTCTGTCTGTCTATGTGTCTGTCTGTCTATATGTCTATCTATCTATCTCTCCGTCTGTCTGTCTATCTGTATCTGTCTGTCTATCTATCTATCTGTCTGTCTGTCTGTCTATGTGTCTATCTGTCTATCTCTCCACCTGTCTGTCTGTCTGTCTGTCTGTCTGTCTGTCTGTCTGTCTATCTGTTTGTCTGTCTGTCTATGTGTCTGTCTGTCTGTCTATCTGTATCTGTCTGTCTATCTGTCTATCTGTCTGTCTGTCTGTCTGTCTATCTGTCTGTCTGTCTATCTATCTGTTTGTCTGTCTGTCTATGTGTCTGTCTGTCTGTCTATCTGTATCTGTCTATCTCTCCATCTGTCTATCTGTATCTGTCTGTCTGTCTATGTGTCTGTCTGTCTATATGTCTATCTATCTATCTCTCTATCTGTCTGTCTGTCTGTCTGTCTGTCTATCTATCTGTTTGTCTGTCTGTCTATGTGTCTATCTGTCTATCTCTCCACCTGTCTATCTGTCTGTCTGTCTATCTGTATCTGTCTATCTCTCCACCTGTCTATCTGCCTGTCTGTCTATCTGTATCTGTCTGTCTGTCTATGTGTCTATCTGTCTTTCTGTCTGTCTGTCTATTTTGTCAATTTTTTATTTGTTTTAATTTCATGAAAGACTTTTTTTTTCTTTTTCTCTAATTAAACAGGGAATCTTGCTAAAATGAAAAATAATAATGAAATAGTAAGTGTTTAAGTGGACACACCACATACTGAAAAATGTTGTGTTTAGTTGTTGATGCTTCTGTGTAATTTTCTATTAAATGTTTCCAGTTTTTTTTCTTGCTACTGAAAAATGAATAACATACCATAACAGCTGTTTTGGAATGGAAGAGGAAATGACATAAATGAAAGGTGGTCTTTGACTTTTGCAAAGTACTGTGTATAAATGCGAATGGCAGCACGTGAAATGTGGCATTTTGACTTGAAATGACATAAGAGGTCACATTCTTTGTTTTTGCAGCCGCAAGCAAAGCAGGATTGTGCAACTTGGGACAGAAATGCAGAAATGGTTCTTAACTCTCCTTCAAACCATCCTACTCTGGTGGCTTTAGTGACTCTGGCTTTTAATGGCCACAGTTGGCTGAAGTCTCAAAGTCCATGAGCATCAGGACATGATATCGTCTTTTTGTAGGAATTCAATAAAGATAACGTGACTGAAAATGCAACAGCACTGAAACAGTGATTTAAAAACTTGAACATTAGTTGGAAACATAGCAACACAACATATTTACTGCTTCGTATCCACCAGTCTCAGTTGTATGTGTTCTTCTCTCTTTCTGTGTGTGTTTCAGATGAATGGGACGAATGATGGCGAGTATGTGTTTTTCACAGGGAAACAGAACTATCAGGACTTCGCTCGAGTAGATCTGTGGAAAGGCCAGAGGTAAACATTCCTATTGCGCATTTTGATGCTTTTGTTGAACTTGTTAAATGGATAGAACCAGTTCAAACTTCTAAAACTTTGACCTAAATAAACCCAAACTACATGTTGTAAACATGCATATTCACATCTTACACAGTGCATGTGCGATTTTCCATTGTCAAGGCTAGGAAAATCCCCTTCTGATGATGCGTCGTGAAGGTGGGAGAAACCTTTGAAAAAGCACAAGCACTTTGGGGCTGATATTTAATGGAAGGGCTGTTTGAAATGCCCATCGTCACGTTTGCATTTTTAGCCTCCACATCAGTGGGCTTATCACAGTAGTGTATGATGTATTAGCGCGATGCATGCTGGGTATTTTAGTGAGAGAGCTTTAATGAGTAAAAAAATGCAAAATCATGTATTACGTGAAACCAGTGAGGCTGGGGAGCAACATTTTACTGCAGAATGTTAAATAACACGACAAATAACTGCTGGTTTTAGGTGTGAATTCCTCCCCTCAGGAATACCTCAGTTACTTTGCCATGTATTCAGAGTCGTTACTGAATAATGAGTAAGTCAAGATTTATCTATATAGTGGTTTTTATAACATGCGTTGTCCAGAATAAACTGAAACGTGCTTGTTCTCCCCTTTCTTGGCCGATATGATTACATTTTTGTTTCGTCTGACCGGAGCACAGTGTTCCAAAACAGCTCTGCTTTGTCTAAATTCTTGTGTGCAAATTTTAATACTGCCTTCGCTATGCTATTTTTTTAGGATAGGAGTTTTGCATTTAGTGTACACTCTTAAAAAGAAGGGAATGATTCTATTTAGAACCATGGGTTCTATATAGAACCATTTGCATGCTTATTTGGTTATTTGCATGGTGAACTGGTTCTTCACATTGATGGAGAATTTGTTGTGTATAGCACCAAAAAGGGTTCTGTTGTTGTTTCTATGTGAAGTTTGTAACGTTGTAATCAAAGATTAATCCGCTTCAGTGCATGAATTCAAGCGCAAGCCTATCAACACCTTATTTACATATCATTTACATAAGACATGCTCTCATTCATGCAGATGTTTCAGTTGGGAGCCAATAAAACGTTCAGCATTCAGCAGCTTGTGAAATTGATGAAATGGGTGAATCGCAAACCTGCGCTCATTTTACGATCAGATATGGGACACTGTGTGAATTTGAAGTGTATTTACGTGCACTGGGAGTATATTAAGTAACAAAAGTGTCTGAAAACTTGTCTCCCCTCACTGTATATCCACCTATTCAGCTTGTACCAGTTTAGCCCCGCCTATTCGTATTGAAGTTATAAGTGTTTCAGCCTGGACTGCTTTTTGAATGAGCTTCAATATGGGGCAGCCAATCGGAATAGAGGTCATTTACATATATCAGTCTCAACAAAAAAGCCTGTATGATTCTAAGGGATAAAGAGAGATCGAGTAGTGGTCATGTGAAAATGAATTATGACTAGGTGTAAAAAATAAATAAAATAGCAGATAATAATAGGATATGAGGCCTTTAAGCCAAGAGTGATGTCATAAGAAGAGCTGAGGTTAGTTACTGTTGGATGGTCCTCACTTTGGGCTGAAGTCACCAAGCTTTGATTGAGAAATCCTGCTTTGGGACTGAATCCAAAGGTCTAATCAGTATCAGGGATGTTTTTAACTGTCTGTTTTCTAATCAGCCGCTTTATCTGTTTGTTTTGCAGCTCTCTGAGTTGGTGGAGCTCAGACGAGTGTAACATGATCAATGGAACCAACGGAGCATCTTTTCACCCAGTCATCACCAAGACGGAGAGACTCTACATGTTCTCCTCTGATCTCTGCAGGTGAAGTTTGAAGTACAGCACTTCCTCTGACTCTGTCTCTCTGACTCTGTCTGTCTCTCTCTCTCTCTCTCTCTCTGTCTCTTTCTTTGACCTGTCTCTTTCTCTCTTTCTGTCTCTCCATCTTTTTCTGTCTCTTTCTTTGTCTCTGTTTCTCATTCTCCATCTCTCTGTCTCTCTCTGACTCTGTGCCTCTTTCTTTCTCTCTCTCTCTCTCTCCCTGTCTCTTTCTTTGACTCTGTCTCTTTCTCTCTTTGTTTGTCTCTCTTTGTCATTCTATCTCTTTCTTCCTCTCTCTCTGACTCCTCTCTCTCTTTCTCTATCTATCTTTGTCTCTTTCTTTCTGTCTCTCTCTTCATCCTTTTCTCTTTCTCTTACTCTCTCTGTCTCTCTCTCGCTCTCTCTCTCTTTCTGTCTCTCTTCATCTTTTTCTGTCTCTTTCTCTTTGTCTCTCTTTCTCATTCTCCATCTCTCTTTTTCTCTCTGTCTCTCTCTCTTCATCTTCTCTCTCTCCCTTTCTTTGACTCTTTGTCTCTTTCTCTGTCTCTTTGACTCTGTCTTTTTCTCTCTTTGTCTCTCTCTTCATCTCTCTTTCTCTACCTTTCTCTCTCTCTCTCTCTCTCTAATTTCTCTTTTTCTCTGCTTTTCTTTCACTCTCTCTATCTGTCTCTCTTTCTCCATCTCTTTCTTTCTCTAACTCTCTCTATCTCTCTCTCTTTCTGTTATTCTCTTTCTTCTTATCTCTTTCTTCATATCTGTCTGTGTCTCTCTCTCTCTCTCTCTCTCTCTCTCTCTCTCTCTCTCTCTCTCTCTCTCTCCTTACATTTAGAAACACTGTTCTCTAAATCACATTAGCTTCACTCCCTTCCATTCGACTCCATTAGATCTCAGTAAAAGCTGTGGTGTTAATATCATCTCAGTGCTGCCATGCGTTCCCTTTTTGCCTGGGCTGAAACTGAGCTGTTCCTTTTTCATGTGATCATTAATGAAGATCAAACCAGGAAAGGTTTAGTCAGTTTCAGAGAGGCTGTTTATAACTGTCTGTTTTCTAATCAGGTGCTTTGTTGGTCTGTTTGTTATGCATCACAATGGTTTGTGATAATGGTATCTACTGGTTACTGGTTATCTGTTGTATTGTATCTATGAGAACCAGTAGATGCAATACAGTTGTGCGAACTCAGTAACTTCAGTCGGGAACCATCTAATGATTTCTGTCAAATAAAAAACACAAAATAATGTAAGTCTGTAATTTTGTAGTCCATTTTTATTTAATCGTATCATGCCTGGTATATTCAAAAGTCTTGTGGTAATACTCTTATTTCAATATTAAGATTTGGTTGTAAACAAAAAGGAATTTTTGAAACGTGCAAAAGGAAAGCTGCCTGGTCAAGACTGACTGAAGTTTAGATAACATGTTAGATTACTTGTGAAAGAAAACGTCACTCCAGGCCTTCTGTAAGTTCTATATAAGTCACAGTCTGTGAATATGAGATGTAGTCTAAGCAGTATTTCGTTTAGTTGTTAGGAACGGAAAACAGTGGCGGCAGCTCTATGTCAAACTCTTTACTGAAAGAGTCACTGTAATACTGATACATACAAGCTCATGTTTTATATTGTTACATAAAAAATGATTTAATAAGCCATTTATCTGGATAGTAAGCTTATTGGCAGTGAGCTTATTTTAGAATAAACACAAATAACATTAATATAATCAGTAGTGATATTATGTCACAGTGTTCTATTAACCATTTCCAGATCTCTCCTCGAGGAAGTCCATGAATTGTAGTCATCATCCAATACCTGGTTTCAGTAATCAGTACTTCATTATGTTAAATCTGGAAACAAACCTTGTTTTTCAAACTAGCTTTACTACTTTTTTTGAAAACAAGAATTCTTTATTACATTTTACTGTATTTACTTGCATTTATTCTAATTATATATAGCATTTTTGCAAAACACATTTAATGCTTATGCAAATGGGTTTAAACAATGTGTTTATGTGTTTTGGAATATTGGAATGTTTGAAATATGTACAGATATATAGTCTGTGGAAAAAAGGTTCCAAAACATGATCTGTTTTTAATTTTTATATGGGGGAATATGAAGTTCTCATGTCGAAACTACCTCCACCATGTAGAGGCTGTACTTTAGTCTGGCTAGATTTCACTGTAGGTTTATATGCTTAAAATGATGCTACATTTATATTACATTATAAAACAATACAACACAATCAAAATCACTCATTGTGCAATAAGTGAATCTGTAGAAACATCTGTCAGAATTCCCAGATGGACGTTGCTACTTGAATGTGTGACCAAAAGCCTGTTTTCTTTGAACCCTTGAGCCTTTGAATTAGTTTGTCTGGCTCAAATCTAAAAACGTCTGAGATTTCCTTACCGATATTTTCTCTCATTGTTCAGCCCTACCGGCCAGGCTAAAGCAGGTGAGAATGAGTAGCCGAGCAGCACTAGGCTGGACTTTATGTAGGTCAGTGCAGGCCAAAACCCTTTTGGAATTAGAGATATTGCACTCAAGCTCGTTGCCCGGAAAAGAGTTACGTCACATCTTGTAAACAACACTTTAACTTCTCTTTAAGCTTTATAAAGAGGATGAAGTGGAAGAAGAAAGTATTTTTGTCTTACAAGTAGGTCACTGTGTCTGCACACCTTGTGAAAAGCCATTTTTTTTGCCAGAGGCAGATTTTTTTTTTTGTTCAGATTATGAGTGACAAATTTTCAGTGATTGACTATGTCTGTGCAGCATGTCTTTGTTTTTGGACAAGCATTTAAATTAACAAGATTTTTTTTTTTATTTTTAGATGTAATTTATGAAACCAAAATAACCAAAAGTTAGTTCATATATGATTTTTTTTTAAATGCTGCTAAGTGGATCTGATTTTTTTTTTTTCTTCATCCATGCATCCTAATCTGGGTGCATTTAGCTAATTAACATCAAGTCTTTTCCATTTGAATTATTGAATGCATGTAGATACACTAAACACTTAAAAGTATGTGGACACCTGACCATCACACCAATATGAGCTTGTTGAACGTTCCATTCCAAAATGGAATGGGCATTTTTATGGAGTTGCCCTCCTTTGCAGCTATAACAGCCTCCACTCTTCTGGAAGCTTTCTACAAGATTTTGGAGTCTATCTGTGGGAATTTGTGTCCATTCAGTCTAAAGAGCATTTGTGAGGTCAGACACTGATGTTGGACGAGAGGGCCTGGATCACAATCGTTGTTCCAGTTCATCCCAAAGGTGTTCAGTGGGGTTGAGGTCAGGGCTCTGTGCAGGCCACTGGAGTTTCTCCACACCAAACTGGTCACTCCATGTCTTTATGGAGCTGCTTTGTGCTCAGGGACTCAGTCATGCTGGAACAGGAAAGGCTCTTCCCCAAACTGCTGACACAAAGCTGGAAGCAGATAACTGTGTAAAATGTCTTTGTGCTGCAGCATCAACATCACCCTTCACTGGAACTGAGAGCCCAAACCCTGAAAAACAGCCCAGCCCATCATCCCTCCTCCACCAAACTCTACTGTTGGCACTGTGCGTTCCGATAGGTAACGTTCTCCCAGATTCATCATCAGACTGACAGATAGAGAAGCTGATTCATCACTCCGGAGAACATGGTTCCACTGCTCCAGAGTCCAGTGAGGGCTCCGCCTTTTTATATCATTAGAATGAACAGTATGTGAAGTGGAGTGGTGCAGTTTTGCCCGAAGTGAGCTGTAGCTGTAGAAAGCTTCATAATGCCCTACTGATTGTTTGAAACCTGTGAAATTGAACAGCATTAGCATTGTAGAATCATTTTATACATTCACTGCAACCAGATATATTTTATTAGGTTTATATTATTGAAAACAGTGATTCTAAACTTTAGAGCGGTGGGGAATAGTGTGTTGTGATTTTACTGTAAAGTTCCTGTTTGTGTGTGTTGTCAGGTCCCTGTATGCCACGTTTGACTCTGAGGTCAGAGTGTCTGGGATCCCTGCGTACCGCTTCGTACCTCCTAGTGAAGTGTTCGCAAACAAGACAGTGAATCCTGATAACGCTGGTTTCTGTGTGGGTGGGAACTGCCTCGGCTCTGGCCTGCTGGACGTCAGCGTCTGCAAGGAAGGTGTGTGTGTGTGTGTGTGTGTGTGTGTGTGTGTGTGTGTGTGTGTGTGTGTTGGTGGGCTGCTCTTTGTAGGATTCAAATCTCACCAGGATGATGAGAACAGAATTTTGAGTGATTGCTATGAATTATTCAATATCTTCTATGGATTATTCAGTGTCTGCTATGAATTATTCAGTATCTACAATTAATTATTCAGTAACTGCTATGAATTATTCAGTAACTGCTATGAATTATTCATTATCTACTATGAATGAATCAGTAACTACTATGAATTATTCAAAGTCTACTAGAAATCATTCAGCAACCACTATGAATTATTCAACATCTGCTATGAATTATTTGATAGCCAAAGAAAATTATTTAATTTCTCATACAGTTTTTAAAGGGTCTGTATAATAATACTTGTTATTTAAATTTAAGAATTGTTGTTGTTTTTGTTGTTGTTGTTGTTGTTGTCGTTGTTCAGTAACTACTACTGTTCAGTGGTTGCTATAAATTATTAAGTACCTGAATTATTTAGTATCTACTTTTTCTGTCTCCTAGGTGCTCCCATCATCATGTCATCTCCACATTTCTACCAGGCTGATGAGAAGTATGTCCAGGATGTGTTTGGGATGCGGCCGAAGAAGGAGGATCACCAGACGGCTATCGACATAAACCCGGTACACACCCGCCGTCGTTCTTGTCTGAAATATGTAAATCCAGTGAGACTCCCTTATTGGGCCTTTTGAAAGCACCAGCTGTCCTTTACAGTGTGTGTCTATTTTATGGGGAATGGACTGATCGAAATGGTCCAAAATTACTTGGAATTAAATCACACATTTTAGTTGCACTACAAAAAAGAATGTTTTTCCTTCTTGGGTAATTTCGGAGATTTGAGGTTTTGTTGTGACAGCAAGGATTATATTGCGGCACACATCACAATCACTATGTGGTATTGTATCTCAAGCATGCAGCCCTACTCAGGTTGATCTGTAATAAACGTGTACAGCATATATTTCCATGCAGAGCAGCTTTTCTGTAGCCAAAGCTTTAATTGTGGTTGTAAATGTTGGAGTAGATGTGCCATCCAATAACTAGAACTGGGTTTAGGCAAAGTCCTTATGAAAAAGTCTGTTTGCTCAGCAGCCATTTCGCAACACTGCCCAGCAGTTGTTTCCAGTCATAAAAGACCAAACTCCTCTCTCTTTGAATGGGGAGAGAGGAAAATACTTGAAACTGAAGGTGAAATCACAGTTTCAAAAACATATTTGACATCACTGATAAAATCTGACAAAAACCACATAAATAGTTTGTAGCATTTTACTCAATAACACAAAAGCATACATTTTTGGCTTGTTCTGGCTACTGCACTTGTGCGGATCTTCGCAATGGGGGGGGGCTTTTCCCACTAGCGCAGGGGTCGGCAACATACGGCTCTTTTACTGTCCTGTTGTGGCTCCACAGCAGAATTAGACTTCTAGGTAAAAATAAAATAATCTTTCTTTGCTGATTCTTTAACCTTCAACCCTAAAGGCTGGCGCACAGACTGCTGGTCACCATAGCAACGTAGACAACAGTCCGGCCTAGCTTGTAGCTAACGAAAAGACAAAGAGAGAGACTTAAGACAAACATCAATAATTTGGAGATGAATGGACTTATTCGCATTTCTAAGCACTCAGCTGGTTTACTATTACATTTAATCTGCAACAAGAAACGGACAAACACTAAAACGTTGTGAAGCTGAAGTCAGTTTCTCGTTCATCAGCTTCTTGTTCAAATTTTTCCGTTCCACCTTAAATGGTGCAGTAGTTATGTTCATTTAAGGTGGAACGGGAAGTTTAGAACAAAATGCCTGTGAATAACAAGCTGACTTCAGCCCTGTAAAAAGTCAAACGTTGAGAGACGTTTTACAAGAAACTGTTCCACTTTTGAGGAAAAGTTTCCTGCTGGAGATGCAAGAAAAGCGGCTATAGCTGAGCTAAAGCTTAAAGCAGAGCACAGTAAGTCTGTGTTTTCGTTTATATTTTTTATCCTATACTAGCACATCAGCGCATACTGAGACACATTTACAGCCAAGATGGTAAAATGGTTTTAACTTGTAGAACGGACAGAATAGTTCTTTTTAACTTTCTGGTTGCCGACCCCTCCGTTAGTGGCACAATATCGTCGACTCTTCTCTGGTGGCGTAACCAGCAAGACGTCATGTTGAGGGTTCCAAGTGTTTCCATTCATATTTCAACCAGTGACCGGTCTCTTCGTTTATAACATCTCTCGTTTAGGTCACTTTTTACTCTATCAAGTTAAAGTGCTGAAGTGTAGCTCCCTCTAGACATCGGGTGGAGAAGGTTCTGCAGGTTCTTGCCAAGTCAAAGGAATAGTTCAGCAAAAAAATGTAACATACATGATGTAGTCGATCAGCCAAGACGTGTTTGGTGTCTGAAGTTTGCTTCTGTAGTTTTACACTGGAGCTACGAGGTTCAGAGCCACCACACTGGACATACCGCCTCACCTAGCGTCATGTAGCAGAGCACTGCTACAGAACACCAGCGGTACGCTCTACTCATATAATTTGAATGAAATTTGCATTCAGCATCACTTTCTTGGCATCAGTTTACCACCTCGACACAGACTGGCTGTTTACGAGGCAGAAAGATACGAGCTGGAAAAGGCTAGGCTAGTAACGTTAGCTGAAGTAACTTAGCATTAGCGTCTGACTGCTTGTCTAAAAGACTGGCTGCCTTTCTCTGTACATTTCAAGCCACATGTGATCTGCTGTGGCTTTCTATGGTCTCAGTAATGCTTTAGAAATATGTATTAAACTTTAAATTGAGAAAAAAGAATGAAGTATATACAAGTCTGGTGGTCATTCTGCAGAAAACAAGATGATGCAAATTACTGTTCCTATCATAAAAGTGGAATGCTTCATTTTTTTATGAGGAGGAACAGGACTGCGCATAAAATGTGGGACACAGGTTAAAATGATTTTCATAAAGTTTTTTTCAAAAGTCATGCTTTTAACATTAAATTGCTTAGAAATGAACCAAATAACAATGTATTTATGGTTTTACTGGAAGATTTTAATGAATAGATTTCATCATAGATTTTCAATCACCATATTTAAGCTCAGACATTATGTTTATTTCTGTGATCGTTTAAATGCTAATTTCAGTCATTTTAAGTGAAATTACAGATCCCTTCATTTTTTTGTTTGAAACGTTCTAAAAGCATTTCATAAATATCTGTTTCTTGCTTTAAAAAAATGAACTCAGTTGACTTCGAATTGGCTTTTAAATGCAATTTATACACCTCTGTAAAAATTTTATTAAAAAATGCTGCACATTTCAGAAGAAAACAGCTCATATAGTGATTCGACAGTCTGACAGGTTAAGCACTTACACTTTCTGTCCAAAAAGTTCCAAAGAAAAAAAAATGTTTTCAAATAGTTTCAAGGCCAAAAATGAACTCTTTTCATGAAAAGTGCCAGATATGTTGGCCTCATAGTTCCAGTGCACAGCGAAAGAAGGAAACTTTGGACATCAGACATACCGAAATCTCTGAGACATCATCAGACATATCCAAATCCCACTTACCCACTAACATTGCTAGATCAATATTAACATGAGTGACTTTAAATTGTTTAAACTGAGCTGGCAAATATATATATATATATATATATATATATATATATATATATATATATATATATATATATATATATATATATATATATATAAGATGTCTGTTGGTCCTCTTTATGTATGTAGTTACTGCATCCTGCAGCAAGAGGGCGACATTGTATTGTTACTCATCTTCACCATTCGCATACAGTACAACACTGAACTTTGAATCTCTGTGGGAAAACTTACAGACTGTTTTCCCATTTTCATTGTTTTGTCTCTGGGAAGGAAACTGTGAGGTAGAATGTCAGCTTTAAGTCCGGAGCAGCTGCATCTATATATATAACGTGGTGTGGTTCACTCAAAATGGATGCAGATGCTCCTGAATATCTCATTCCAGGGGACCAAAAGTAACCAAACGGAAATGAAATAGTTTAATATTAATATTTGGTTGCCACTTGTTTATAATTGATAACTGCCTGATATCTGCGACCCACAGATGTCACCACACATGAGGTGATGTGGCGAGATCTCTTGTGAAGTCATTTCAGCTCTTTCTCGTTTTGGGGGATTTTTCCCTCCAGTCTCGTTTTCAGTCAGTGAAATGCTGCTCAGAGGAAGGTAAATTTCCGTCCACTGACCTTTGAGACATTGTTTAATGAAATCTAAGATGATTCAGCAGCCACGTGATACCTTCAGTGCTGTGCAAAAGTCAGAGACCCCCCTTTCTATTTGGAAAACATGTATTTAACAGAAAACTACACAGAAACAAAAAGTGTAATACAGTTTTTTTTTTTTTTCCACCACTCTTTACTTTTATTGCAGCTTCTGTTCTTTTCAAAAGACTCACTTTCAGTTCTTCAAAGAATCTGCAGACACACCTCCAAAGTTCAGTCTTATTTCTGTTAAATATATAGATAACGCTTTCTACGATGCCCATAATCATACGCCTTCATAAATGCGCTTTATAAAAATTCTGTGTAACTTACTATGTAACAGCGCTCGGTAAGCATATCTTGTAAGTTCCAATAATGCTTCATTAGCTGTAATAATGAACTTTAATTAATTCTGGTGATTTATAAACATGTAGAAACACAAGTGTCATTAATCATCGTAATGCCTTAATGACCTGTGCGTAGGACTTGTAATACTTGTCAACAATTATAAAAATATTATAAATATCCAAAGTGCCACCACTGAGTGCTTCAAGTAAAGTAATTCATAATATATTTTATCATATAATAAACTATAAAAGTGCATTTCCTGAAGAAAATACACTGATTGTGCAGCTTAAGCAGTTCCCAGGTGGTTGCAGGTTGTTGCTCATTGGTAACTATGGTATTTAAGGTGGTTGCTAAGACGTTGCTAGATGGTTGCTATGGCATTCAAGATGGTAGCTAGGGTGTTGCTGTGTGGTTGCTAGGGTATTCCAGGTGTTGCTAGGTGGTTGCTATGGTATCTCAAGTGGTTGCTAGATTGTTGATAGGTTGCTATCTCTGGTTGTTGCTAGGATGTTGCTAGGTGGCTGCTGTGGTGTCCGAGGTGATTGCTAGGTGGTTGGTATGATATCCAAGGTGGTTGCTTGGTTGTTGCTCAGTGGTTCCTAAGATGTCTGAAATGGTTGCTAGGTTGTAGCTAGGTGATTGCTATAGGATCTCTGAAGGTTGCTAGGTTGTAGCTAGGTGATTGCTATGGGATCTCTGAGGGTTGCTAGGGTGTTGCTGTGTAGTTGCTGTGGTACAAGTGGTTGCTAGGATGTACTAGGTGGTTGCTATAGGATTTCAGGTGGTTGCTAACGGCGCCGAATTAACCTTGTGGTGCAGGAGGCTCTTGTAGCTGATCCTGCAGTAATAAACGATGCACAGTATATTATAGAGAAGAGCGCACACTGACAAACACAAACAGTACAACATTTAACCTGCAAATATGAGTAACCTGAAATATCAATCACTTCACTTGACGCTTTTAGTAATGGCTTTTTAAGTGGTCATAATGCCTTTATAATTGTTAATAAGCAAAGCTAAAAGAGCTAAATCGTGTCTCTGTCCAAATGCTTACAGATG